AAAGCAAAGCAAGTTTTCAATAGCTTTGGTTTCGAGTAACATCGAAAATCGAGAGATTCGCATGGGTATGTGCAGTGCATGTTGAACAAAAGAAAATGCCCTTCTATTCTTGTATAAAGTCGGTTCAATCCCAGTATACAGTACAGGATTTGGCAACATTATAATGAGCAGTAAACTGGACATTTATGAAGAGTTCGGGTCACTTTGGTGTTGGCGACAATTTTCAAAATCATGTCAAGGAAGTACCGTATACTAGGAGTTTCCCACAGAATCTTTTATCCCTTTTTTATCTTTTAAACAAATGTCTTATTTGTCATTTTGTAGTAAAAAAAATAGTAAGCAGTCATCTAGGCTAACCATTTAATACAACTAACTACATTCACCAAAATATCTTTGGTTATTGTAATTCAAATTTTAAGCAATTAACTTTATTTTAATGTTATTCATATCATTTAATGTTGCTTCTTCCCTCTAAGTGCATTTATTATGAGTTAATAATCCTTTCAAATTTTAGGCAATTTTCTCTGGCATACTGCAACTAATTTTAACAGTATGATGGTATACCATCACGAAATTTAATGCACATATATTTTGCTTATGTATGCTGCTAAATAAATGTAAAATACCTGAATTTATTTTTAAATACCATTAAATAGATCTCTTTCTTTCGCTTAGCTGCAAAATATCTACAAAAAAGACATTTTTTAATCCAGATTGGGCAAATTCTAATTTCAATCTTCAGTGGAGAAAAACAACTGTGATTATAATTAGCACAGCCAATGTGCATTATGCGGATAGACTGGAATTTTTTTAAAACACACCTGGAAAAGTCAAGGAATTTCATTCTCCTGTTTGAGTGGCAACCCTGTTAAAAGAAATTTAAAGTGAAAACATAAAACAAATTAGTTTAAATTGTGCCTGTAATAAATTCAGCACTGTAGCACGATACTAGATAGGATACACTGGAAATGAAATACTTGTAGAATTGAATTTTGTTAATGCTTCTGTTCTTTGCTCAGAAGTAAAGAAGTGTTTTGGTGTCACTAACATTTTAAAAGTATCAAAATTTAAAAAAAAATTATTATTAGTTATTTTAAGTGTTAATGTTTCTCTAGACTTTTTACTTTATCTTCCTTTTGAAATGGGTAGTAAACATAAAATTGTTATTAATACTGATAAGTAAAGCAATTTTTATCATTAAAAATACTATTGTTTTAAAAATATGAACAACCTAGTTTTCTGCTATGCTTGAGATATATTATAATATGTGTAATTTATGCACTACATTTCTTTTCTTTAAGAGAATAAATTTGACTGCTTTCCTACTTTAAAGGACTTTTGAAATACAGAAAGTTTAAAAATGGAAAATTCAGATTTAAAAAAAGTCGGTCCAAGTTAATATTCCTCATGCCCATAAGAAAATTCTTTGAAATCCTTTCACGATAGTTCAGGTGACAGATGCGGTGTATCTGATTTCAAAAAATTAATTGACAACTGATTGTGGCATAAAACAACAATTTAAAGAACTACAATTAAAGGAATTTTGGATAATTTGATAGATGAATATCTGAATTTATCAAAATGAGCTACTCATATTTCACTTCCTTTTATGACAACATACTTATATACGAGGCAGATTTTTTACATTACACTATAATAAAATTCAAACACAGAAACCGACTTGATGCTGCATCTGATATAAGAATTTAAGTTTCTAACACTGTGCCTAACATAAAATGATTTCTTATTTAAAGACAAAGATGCAATGTTTTGATTTCATTTAATTAGTTTTATGTGTCATTTTTTTGTAAAATTAAGAACTGAAAAAGGTTTCATTTATAGGTATGATAGAAAAATTGAGATAAATCTTTATTTTATTTATCTAATGCACCTGCATTATCATTTATTTTAACTAAAAACCAAAATTTACTCTAGTGTTCCTTAAGAAGCTTAGAAGTTAAAAAAGTGTTCCGCGAAGATAAAAGTTCGAGAAACACTGCTTTAGAATATGAAATATTCTGTTTTATTTTCCATATCCTCCAAAAAAACTCCTCAGATGTTTCAGTACGATAAAAAATGATGCATAAAAAACTGCAGATACTAAAAAAATGGCTGGTGTTATTTTAGTGTTCCTTTTTCTATGTTCATTTATTAATACAATCAAATAAGCTCCTGCTAAGTAAAACTGTACTTTTATATCATATTTTATCAAGATAGTGGTAAATCCTTATATTAATATAATCCTATTAAAAAAAGATAAAAATTATTACAGCCATAAATTCTGGGATATACAGTCAGGTATCTGTTTCACATAAAATCTGTCTCATTATTAGCAAAACACCCAAATTTCTGACTTCATCACATGCTATTAAAAATTTATACCAACATTTATCTAGGTGCCTTTTATATGTAGGAAAGCATTGAATTTCATTTTATAATCATGTTCTATCTTCTTTATGTATTACTGGATCTTTTGTTACACTATATACAGTCAAAAGTCTTTAATCCGGACTCATTTTAAATCTCATTTTAGATCATCATTTTAAATCTGGTAAGATGGCATGCAGAAATTATAAAATTAAAAATATGAAACCGTAATTTATGAAATAAAGAGCAATTGTGATCTAAAGGGTATCAAAAATTTACAAAAAAAAGCTTAATATTTATTTGTTTACTTTATTAAACATTTCTTTCAACGCGCGCATGCGTAAAGCATACATTACGCATAGTCGATATTAGAAAATTGCAACCAGAAAACTATTTGATGTGTACTCGTGATATTTATAATGACGAGGTATTTGATTTAAATCATATCAAAGATGGAATACATCGAGATGAAATACTACATTTAGTAAGGAATTATAAGCTGAATAAAATAAAAACTCCTGCCCTGAAGATAAGGATAGTGCTGACAGATCAACTTCCAGTTCATTGCGCTCCGCGACGTCCCGCCCCCGCAGAGCAGCGTGAAATTGATTAACAGATTTCGGAATGGTTAGAGAAACAAAGGATATACCTTTATCCATTTTTTGCAGCAATTCCACTTTTTGTTTGATGGACTCGAAACATACTTTCGCTTTGTAGATCCTTTGGAAGCTCCAGCATCGGAAATTCTATTTGACATAATCGAAAGTTCAAGCTTACTTTTATAAAATTGCTCTAACAGTCTGCAAAAAATAATAAGCCGGATCCAATTCGAAAATTAAGGAACAAAGCAATTTGCAACAGTAACTGAAATAGATAATTAGATAATTTTAGCTTATACCGTCCGTTATACATTAAACGCGCAGGCGTAAACGTATAATGCGCATACGCACACGCATATGCGAAGCCGTAAAGGTTTTAAGCGCATGCGTAAACGACGCATGCGCAGAAAGTTTGTAGCTTGGAGGTCCGGATTAACGACTTTTGACTGCATATGTTGCCACATATGTCATGATTACAACTTGCATGGCCTTATAAATCTGCTTCTTTACAATATTACAAATTACTTTAATTGCTCTTAAGAAGAGTAGGATAGAAATAAAAGAACATAATATAACAATGGTAATGATGAATAAATATATAATGTAATGATAATTTTATGTGATGACTTTTAAAATGATCATGAAGCTGGTGTATAAAAATGTTGTTCCAATTAACCCTTTAACTGTCAAGTTATTTTGATGATTTGGGTACACAAATTGTCAAATTTTTTATTGAAAAAATCAAATGTTTAGTACAAAATAAAATATACTTAGTTAAAAATTGATATTTTGTAGTACATGGGTAAAATTTTTAAAGTTTTGTAGCAACTGCATATTTGCTTGAGGCGGCTGCCACTCAACATGGCAGTTGTAAAGTTCGCTTCTAGTGAAGCATTATCTTCTAAAAAAAAAAAAAAAAAAAAAAAAAAAAAAAAAATTATTTTTTCTAAAAATAAATAAATGAAAAAAATAAGTAAATAAGTGAATACCTATTAGTAGTTCAGTAATTCAGTCTTGTGTGGTACAACTGGAAACACTTTTCCAAGCACAAACCAACTCCACAATCATTACACCAGAATCGTGTTTCCTTCTTTATCTTTTTCCCATTTTTATCCTTTTTCGAACAACACTCTTTGCACTGTCTTGTAGGCTCACGTTTCACAGGAGTAGGAGGAATATGGGAAATAAAATGTAGTTCAGTAAGACGGGCAGGGCTATCTATTGTGGTCTGCCAACATTCTTTTGTCCAGAAGCTGCATCATCATATTTATGTAAAAGCTCTTCTACAACTTGGATTCGAAATTCTAAAAATGTATCCCAACTACATTTTTATAGAGCAAATACGAGTTCCAAAGTACCTCGTCTAGTAAATATAAAAATATCTTTTTATAATATTTTTTCTGACGTTTTCGGATTGTTGGATGAAAGGATATTTCCTAATCACAGCGATCTACACCACCCATAGTTAGACTGCAGTCAGAAACAATCTTCGGCTTCAGTATATCTTCATTTTCTTTATTTTTGAGGCTGACCATGGAAGTATCATGAATACTGCTCATCAAACACACATCCTTCATTTTCGGTTGAAGAATCTAAATCATCTATATAACGTTTCAAAGAACTGGACGCCACTTTACAACAAAAAGATCCCGTGCACTTTGAACCAAAGAACTTATAACCTCTAACCTCTGAAATCTTCAGTAAAGTGCTGTTATCTATTGAATTGAGCGCACATTAACTTTTCCCGAGATACAATCGGGTTTGACAAAGAGATGAAGCCAAAATATACATATCCCGATATATATTCGGGTATAACAATACGATGCACTGAAAAAAAAAATTATCCCGAGTAATACTCGGGCATGACATTTTCGAACACCGGTGCTGTACCCGAGATTTTTTCGGGCATGACAGTTAAAAGGTTAATAGTTATTTTTAGCGTAATATTTTTTAAATAAAAATATTCAGCTAAATTTTTGTAAGATGTATGTTTACTCTTCAGGAATTGTATTTATATTTTTCACTTATTTACAGTAGTGTAATTGGAATAAAAAAAGAAAAAGGAAAAATGAGATTTTAACAGCACAGTAAAGTGAAAGAAGAAGCATGGATTATGATATAGACACTAGAATTATATATAGCAAAGTTATAGTTCCACTTTAGTTTTGTTGGTTAATTCAAAATTTTGTTTTGTAAATTTATCAGTATTGATGGATAAAAGATTTTAGTTTTATGTTTGCATTTAATGACATGCATCATGAGCATTAAATACATTGTGTTCACAAAAGTCCATATGTAGTCTTTGTTTTTGCAACCATTTGTCGCTGGCATACACATTTGATTACAGAAATGCTGTATATGATACAAATATTCATACTTTGACAGTTTTAAATTTTAAAAAATTATAAAAATGACAAAATCGAACTTTTATACAGTACTCCAGTCCTTATTTTAAGGAAAATTTTCCGTTCATTTGAAAGAAATAGAAAGAAGAATAAAGACAATACAAATCCCATACAAAAAAAATTCACCAAAATATTTAATTTCAAAGTTTGGAATGTTTGATATTTTGTATTTAGCTTGAGTGATCGATTAATAAATAAATTAAAATAAATATGATTTAGACTTGATTTTTCCTCTTAAATGTGATTCTGTGATATATATATATATATTTTTTTGAATCAATAGTGTATAGCATTCTTTAGTTTACAATTTTGTTGTAGTTGATATGCCAAAAGAATTTTCAAGTTTCAAATCAAATAAGTCTTCAAATGCTAAAAATACATTACTACAAATTCTTTAATCCGGACGTCCATAATCCGGAATGATATATAATCCGGACCTCAAAGCTACAAACTTTCTGCGCATGCTCATAATACGTTTACGCATGCGCGTTTAATGTATAACGGACGGTATAAGCTAGACTCTAATTATCTATTTCAGTTAATGTTGCAGATTGCGTTGTTCCGTAATCTTCTAATTGGATCCGGCTTATTATTTTTTGCAGACTCCTAGAGCAATTTTATAAAAAGTAAGCTTGAACTTTCGATTATGTCAAAAAGAGTTGACAATTCTGGAGCTGCCAAAAGATCTACAAAGCGAAAGCATGTTTCGATGTACCGCTTCCGATATACTGCTTCTGATAGTGGAGAAAGTGACAGAGAGGTTATTGAAAACGAAAAAATTTCGATTGGCAAGTTAGTCGGTATTCTCGCCACAGCAATTACAGGACTTGAACAGTGGAACTTTGTAACTGAACAAGAAATTATGTCTGTTTATAGAATTAAAGAGAAAGTATTAGCACAAAAAAAAAAAAAACGAAGCAACTTAAACATTTTGTTTAATAAAATAAAATATTAAGCCTTTTTTTTTTGTAAATTTTGATACCCTTTATATCATAATTGCTCTTTATTTCATAAATTACGGTTTCATATTTAATTTTTTCTGATTTTATTTAAATGAAAATAGATTGATGTGTACATGGAAAAATTTGAGGCAGTGCGCAATGCCTAGTTTATGCAATTTTAGGATGTTTTTTTTAAGTGAAAACAGATCGATGTGTACATGGATACAGAGTTTGTTCAATTCTTTAACTTATTATTTTGGTTTTGTGTAGCGTCCATCTAGAAATTGTGCCTTTCTGGCGCCGATCTAGGCGTCAAAAAAGAATCGCCAAGAAACAAGGGGCACCCAATTGCAAACTTTTACTTTCATTTTCATAACTACCAATTGTGCTGTCCTATGTAATCTCTTTACACTCCACCTTTTCAAGTGTTGCACGCAGATCAGAGAATTTTCTTTTCCATGTTGAGCTTTCTTGAAATTACAATATTTCCATTTCCAGATTTTCAAGATCTAACCATTATAAGCAAGAAAGACAAGTTCTTCAAACTTAGATTTATCTGGAGAAGAAAACACATGGTTGTTCCCATCTGACGGAACTATAGAAATCTGTCGTTAAAATTCTCCTTTACAGCTGCTACCATGCTCGAAAATTTCTTGTAGATTTCTTCAGGACTTGAAGGATTGTAAGCAAATTGTGTAGACTTTAATAGATGCATCTTTAAATTTGGAAAAATATTTCAGCTACCCACTTGCAAGATCTCTTTCAAAAACATGTATTTTTCTTTCAAATGTTTTTATATCGCAAAACATCCTTTCTGCCGTTTTTCCCAAGTCGTGCAGTTGCTTGTTTAGTACATTGGTTGTGTAAATTCTGTAAAAAAACTTAACATTATTAAGCCAGACCATATCAGTGAGCTGTGGATAATTCTGCCCTTTTTCATTCAAAAATAGCCTAATTTCATCCAAGCAGCTTACTTACAAATTTCTCTAAAACCCGTGCTCTGCTCAACCATCGGACATTATTGTACATAAGCAAAGTGTTATACTGTGCTCGAACCTCATCAAGAAGTGCTTGAAACTGTCTGTAACTAAGAGCTCGAGCCATGATGTAATTCACCATTTTGGTGACATTTTTGAGAACATTGTCTAATATTTTGCAGGTGTCCCTGGCACAAAAAGACAATGAAAGTGAATAACTAAATATTTTGCTTCTTTAACAAAGAATTGTATGAAACCAGAGATGTTGTTCCTAACATGCAAAGTTCACCATCACTAGTAACTGAAACTATTTTTTCTGGTCTTATGTCTTGTTGCAAAAAAAAAAAAAAAAAAAAAAAAAAAAAAAAAAAAGTCCATCACAGCACTGTAAATATCTATTCCTTGTGTTCTTTTGAGCAACAATGCCAATTTAGCCAGGTTTTCTCTTATCGTACCACCAACAGCATAACGCAAAATTATTGCTAGCCTTGCATGGTTATTTATATATGTGCTATCATCCAAGCACATTGAGTAACAAGCTACCTTTTGTAAGTCGGTGAGCTGCTGACCAGTATCACTTGCCATTCGCAGGACTCGATCTTTAATATTAATAATGTTAAAGATCGAGTCTTTCGAATTAATGCTAAGTGGCATCTCAGCGATGCGTTTTAATTTTGTCCTTGTTTGGAAAATCATAAAAAAGGGAGTTACTCCCTGACAACTTCCTCAATTTTCCTTCAGTAAACACCTTTCGTTCAGCTTCATCAAGTTCTGTAACAATCTTGTGGTTGGTGTTAAAAGTGCCGTCTGACACTAGATGTGTGACACACAACACTTCTCCGCACAGAATGCATAATTCATTCAGTTATGTTCAGTTGTGTTCAATAACTCCAAATGATTCTGTCCAGGTCTCTTGAAAATGGTCTTTCACTATCGAGGATTAATTTTGCGCTTTTTGCTGGAGTCATGTCTGAGGGTTCAAGACCTGGAGTATAGAAAAGGACAAAATTTAAAAATGAAGCATTAAATATAAATCGATCATATAGTAAAAAGAGGTAACATTATTAACCAATAGTAAGGAATTAGATTTTCACGAATCAACAATTTATGGTTGTATACTCAAATATGAACAGGGGACAGCAGTAACTGTTAACCTGGACCATCTCTTTGCTAAACTTCTAACTTTAGATTTTATATGCTCCTTTTCGGCTTTATTGGGCTTATTTTGGCGGAGCACATGTGTATAAGCTTCGTTTCCCTACTAAACTTTCCTGTTTTGCTACATTATCAAATTGCATGTTTTTACATTATATTTGCACATTCCGTTTAAGTTATTAAATTAGAATTATTAAAGTTACCTCAAAATGCTTAGATCTGAAAACTGGAAATCATTTAACGATGAAAGTATTAAAACTCAGTGGCACTCTGCAATAAATTTGAATTTGTTTAGCAAACATTAGCTGCTTCAACTTTGGCGTATTCTTTGCAATGTAACAAGTAATATGATTGGCTAGAACAATTGAAACGTCACTTGTTCTAGCTAATCATATTACTTGAACAATTGAGTCAATAAATATGTATAGCATTTCTTGGCAATATATGAAATTCTTATATCTAGGTTTAGGTCCTATGCCAGTGGCATTATGCGAAAAGCATTCACCAAGAAACTTTGTTTAAGTAAGTAAGTGAAACGTTCAAGAAGGAACTAAAACACTTATTTCAATTATATATCATTATTTTATTGTGACTATTGGTTAAGGAAGTAATATTTTAATCGATTTTAGTCGCGTGTCAGCTGATAAGGCTCTGCGTGCCGACTGTGGCACGCGTGCCATAGGTTCGCCATCACTGGTACAGAGGATGGGAAAATGTATATTTTATAATGTGTATGTTTGTTTACATTTTGTAATTTTTACGAAATTAATTTTCTTCAAAATTAAAAATGACAAAATATGAATATTTGTGCCTTTTAAAATTTTTTTGCTAGTGGAAGTACATGTCTATTGCCAATAATTGTGAAAATAAAGGCAGGGTAAGGAATTATGTGAACATGGTACATGATAATCATATGACTGGTATTAATTTTGAAATGGTGAAGTTCAGAATGATTTATGATATGTGACTGTAAATTTTACCAATTTTTCCCAAACCAAATTAAAAGGAAATGATAGCAGTTATTACAAATTAAAGTCAGAATTTTATTTTGCATGTACAATTATTAACAAAATTATTAATGGTTTGCTGCAGGGGTAGTAATTGTGTAACAAAACAAAGCTATTCAACACATTGTGGAACCACGAGCCATTGGGAGTCTCTGAAAAAGAATGCAAATAATAAGTACAATAAGCCAGTTTTGAATCAACTAACTTATCAGCAATATCACATTTAATAATTCACATTGGTAGGTTTCTGACAATCTAATAAAAGAATGATACATTTGAATTATTAAATCTTTAGCTGAGTCCCTGATTTGCCATTTTATTAGTACATCTTTATAAAATTGCTTAGAAGATGGAAATACTCAAATTTATTTTAAAAAAAAATAGAAATCGCAATTTATTATTAGTAACAAAATTGAATTTATTTCCTTCTTGCTATAGAAAATTCCAAATGGCAGTAACGAAGATGTAAACATTTTGTTCGTGATATTAGGGATTCATTGCTGAGGTAAATTAAATTGCATATTTTTTGCATAATTTCATAGGAGAGGGGCAAGCTTTTCAGCATTTTCCCATGAAATGTTAGTGCATTATGCGCTTAAACAAAATGTAATTTTATGGTTTTTTCCCCCCCAAAATGATGTGTATATATATCCTTATATGTGAATAGGCCCAGACTAAAATATATTTTGTAAACTATTTGTATGCAAATATGGTTTAAAGAAACACGTATGAACTAGCATAATTGTGCAGTTATATGAATAATCAATATCTACAGTTAACCTTTTTAAAAGATAATCACATTCTA